ACAAGATCACCAACATCAAGCGCTACCACATCGCCAAGGTCTATCGCCGTGACAACCCTGCCATGACACGTGGCCGCTACAGAGAGTTCTATCAGTGTGTGAGTTCTCCTGTCACAGAAGAGGGTGTGTGTTGCACTGGGCTGCTGCAGTGCAGAGTGTGTTATATGCATGTGTGTGTGTTTCAGGATTTCGACATCGCCGGTCAGTACGATGCCATGATTCCTGACGCAGAGTGTTTGAAGATTGTCCATGAGATCCTCAGTGAGCTGGAGCTCGGAGACTTCCGCATCAAGGTCAGTCTCCGCTTGCAGCTGAGCGCCCAGTAGATGCCACTTCCTGATCGCTGACCTCACTTCCAGGTCAATGACCGGCGCATCCTGGATGGGATGTTCGCTGTCTGTGGAGTTCCAGATGACAAGTTCCGCACCATCTGTTCAACGGTAGATAAACTGGATAAGGTGAGATGCCCTGTCGGTGGAAAACCTTAATCGCTTTAATCGATTATTGAAATAATCAACTATTTATTGATTATTTGATGAATTGTTAACTGGACTGTATAAAGTCAAAAAAGTCCATTTGCTGAAAGAACTACACACTCAAAGCAGTGATTAAAGCTGGTTAATTATTGCCATGACCTTCTTTGCCACTGGATGAGTTCTACAAAGTGGGAGTTTGAACTTCACTTGATTCAGATTCTGAACAGAAGATCAGCTCTACACTGCATTAGGTCTAGCAGAGTATCGAAAGGATTTTCTTCAGCTGCAGATGCATCCTTTATTACAGAAGTACGGTGGCTGACAGGTGAAACTGCACACAGCAAAGGGCTAAACAAGCTGCAAACTCCAAAACACAAATGCAACAGAAAAATGATGCAAACAAAAATGCTGCAGTCACAGGAAATAGAAGCAAAATGGGGAAAAAATAACAAAACCCCCTTAAAGTGTGAGAAACTACAAACTTACTGCACAAAATGGAAGACCAGGAGGGGGAGTCTGGACAAGATAATGTTACTTATGTAAAAATGCTGCCAAAAGTTGTTGTGTTTCATTAACACGTTATACATTACAGACATTTTCCTTCTCCTGGACATCTCAATCAATTGTGACATCCTGTCTCTACTGGGGGTCTGTTCCTAGTCTCTTTACTGGTTGACTCTCCCTAGTGGTCTGCAGCACTTCTGTTTTGTGTAGTGAGTTTCCAGCGTTTCATACTGACTGTAATTGCAAAACTTACACCTTTGCTCCTATTTCCTGAGCTTCAGTGTTTTTCTGTAGCTTTAGTTCTTTTGTTTGTTTTGGAGGTAGCATCAGTCCTGTTTGCAGCTCATTTTGCTGTTTGCTTTACGTTTGGACCTCTTCTTGACAAAGCAAAAAATACTAAGTGACAGTGTTTTAGACAATGAAATGCTTATTTTGTCCTTAAAAATAATGAAATTATTTATTTGCATCTTTTATTGTATTTGTAATATTGCATAGAAGGCTTAAGTGGCAAAATGAAATATCTGCAAAATGTGGCAATTTTTTAAACCTGATAAATGATTAAAAAATAAACGGTTACTACAGTTATGGTCAGCTGGCTGCTGTTCTCCTGCTAGTACCTATATTTGCATGTAGTGTGTGGGTAAGAGTCTTACTTTATACCTGCTCAAGATGCATCTTTGGTCTGTCTGCCATCATTCAGCGCTGATGCATGTGTGCGTCTCCTGCAGTTGCCCTGGCAGGAAGTGAGGAAGGAGATGGTGGATGAGAAGGGGTTATCTGAGGAGGCTGCAGACAAGATTGGGGAATACGTCAGCCTGCATGGTGAGTCAGCGAACACCTCCAGGAGGTGGCAGTCCCTACATCTTTAGGAGGCAAACTCTGTTTTGTGTAGCGATATATTCATTATATATTCAATAGTAGAAATTACAGAGACTCATTAGTGACGATGTTTGCCCCAAAGGAGCAAAAGTGTTTGTCTAATGTTGACAAGAGAAGGCTTTCAAGTACAAAACACATCTTCAATGGTCATGGCTCCAACCTGCCAGACATGGAAGAAAATGTAGCTGATGAGGAAGAAAAACTGAGGCCCGGGGCCTGGGGCCTGGGGCCTGGCCCTGGGCCAGTTGCCATCCTGCAGGAACTCTTCCTGAGTGAGGCTGGTTGTGTGTTTCAGGGGGAATGGACCTGGCAGAGCGCCTCCTCCAGGACCCCAGGATGTCACAAAGTAAGCAGGCCTGCGCTGGCCTGTCTGACATTAAGCTTCTGTTCAGCTACCTGCAGCTCTTCCAGGTCACAGACAAGGTCAGGTATCCCAGAATGCTCTGCTTCTGTCTCTTAGCATCCTGTCTCTGTGGCTGGATTATTCATTTTTATTTTCTTTGTCGTTCCTCAGGTGGTGTTTGACCTCAGTCTGGCCCGTGGGCTGGATTATTACACAGGAGTGATTTATGAGGCAGTGTTGACTCAGGCCGGGGTGGCCCCAGTGGCCCCGGCGTCCAACGACGTCCAAAACGGGTCTGAGGAAAGCATCAGTGTAGGGAGCGTGGCCGGAGGGGGGCGCTATGACGGCCTGGTGGGCATGTTTGACCCCAAGAACAGGAAGGTGCCATGTGTTGGGGTCAGCATCGGCATTGAGAGGATCTTCTCCATCATGGAACAGAGGGCTGAGGTGACATCTGCAGCTGGGTGGGCTGGAATGTACTGATGATGACTGCTCATGTTCAGACTAACTCTGCTGCTAATGTTCAGGCGGCAGCAGAGAAGGTCCGGACCACAGAGGTCCAGGTCCTGGTGGCATCGGCTCAGAAAAACCTGCTGGAGGAGAGACTCAGGCTGGTCACTGAGCTCTGGAATGCTGGCATTAAGGTGTGTGTGAATGTGTGTGTATGTTAGTTACAATAATACTGGATATGAAAGGATTTATTTTTGACAATGTTAAAGTTCTCATTATGAGTAATAATGAAAAATTACAGGGGAGGAGAAAAGGAGTAGAACCTGGAACCAAACAACAGAGATCCACAGATGCAACTGTGATGATAAATAGGGCAAAATATCGAAAGAAATGTCAATAATTAGTCTTCAACTAAGGGAAGAATGCCACAAAATCTATAGTTAATCTCACAAAAAGTACAATTTCTTCCTCAATAGCTTTCTGTTCTTATGAATAATAAAAATGTGATTTTATTTTGTACATTTCTGACCTGACACAGGTCTTATATTTCATTCTTTATGGTCTTAAGGTCTTAAATTTGAGTTGGTGAAAATGGAGGATGGCTGACTCTGTGAGATGTTGAACTTCTCCTTGCAGTCTCGTGAGTTTTCCTGACAAGAAACTCATGGTGTGTGTTTGTGGCTGTGTGTATGTGTCTGTGTAGGCTGAGGTGATGTACAAGAAGAACCCCAAACTACTGAGTCAGCTGCAGCTGTGCGAGGAGTCGGGGATCCCCCTGGTGGCCATACTGGGAGAGCAGGAGCTGAAAGACGGAGTGGTGAAGCTGCGAGTGGTGGCCAGCAGAGAGGAGGTAGCTACTGTCAGCACAGCCTCTGGCTACAGCTGAACAGCCATGTCTGTGATTTACCAGCTGCTGTTCCTTGGTCTGCCTCCAGGTGGACGTGTCCCGCTCTGACCTCATCACAGAGATCAAGAGGAGAACCTCTGAGGCCTAGCCGGCGCTCTGCTGGGTACAAAATTTCCACAGATTTGGATGGATTTGAGAGCAGGCCTGCTTAATGTGGGCAGCAGACACACACTGCTGGGAGTGCCTGGTCAACATGGCTGACCTGCTGAGGGGACCTCAGGTTGCCATGGTGATCACATTACATACACTGACTTCAGCTTGTATCCAGACATTTACTTACTCTTCATGTTTATTGTCCAGCTGTGTGCTCTGGTGAAAGTACCACTGTGGTCTGAAGCTGTTTCTGCAGGAGGAACTCTGCCTAGCAACCAGGAGTTTACCTCCATTCATGTTAGAAGAAGACATATTACCATCAGAACTGCTGCGCTTTGAATAAACATAATTTCATCCTGCTGTCTGCATGTTTCAAATCTCTATTAAAAACATGGAAGCATTCTAACAGAAATCTGCTTTTGAGTTACTGTACTTGTCCACTAGAGGGCAGGATGGTGTCATTCCGTTCAGCAGGTGTTCAGGCCACATCTGGACACAACGTCAATGCTGTGGCTGTGACTGGTAAACTCTATTTTATACTTCCATCCTCATGAATCCATTGAAGAATATACAGAATGGAGGAATCTTAGTTTTGATTAAGAAAAAATACACATTTACAGCAGAAAGTAAAACATGCCTATCTGAGCTGGTACAGTGCAGAGAGCACAGTCCTCTCTCTCTCCTGTCTAATTAATGTTCATTAGAGGCCACTTGTGCCAAAAATCTGAAAAAACCCCAAAAGGTGTAATTTTCCAGAAGTTTATATTTCTTATGTAAAGACTGTTTCTGAAAACTGCATGGAGTCAAGCAGCTTTTGGTTCCTGACCCCAGCTTTACATTTCATCTGAAACAGGAGTGCCCAGTCCTGCAGCTTTTCAGTACGTCCCCCATACAACACACCTGGATCTAATGAATGCCTCCTCACCAGGCCTCTCAGAGCTGGACGAATGTTGATACGGTGGTTCAGGTGATACATCTTAAAGCTGCAGGATATAATAAGCTCTACAGCACTTCCAGATGTGGAGAAGCCATTATACTGGATGTAATGGAAGAAACTTTCATCATGAAGTTTTCTGGAAAATGTCAAACTCCAAAGCCTGCAGGCCAGACCTGGCCTTTCAGTTCAAATGTTCCTGTGGCCCTCTAGTCAAGCTTTAACCTTCAAGATAACAGTTGTGTCTTTGAACATTTTATCAGTCAAATCAAATGAGTTGTGTGTACAGTACCTAACTACTTAAATGTGAAAGAATGTTAATTTTTAGACCTCATTGAATTAAGAGACAGCTTTAATATTTGAAGTTTTATCAATACATTCTGCCACAACTGACCATTTGAAGACCGTCATGATCTTGATGTGACATGAAATGAAAATGAATTTGAAACCCTGCTCTAAGGTAAAAAACACAACTTAGGACCTAAAGCTTCATTGTACATTTTAAAATACCACCTTTTTTTATTTTTAGCAAATCTCATTTTTATTAAAATGAGCAACTCAGAACACAGCAAGAATAAAACAAGAATTATATAAAAAAAAAAACATGCAAACAAACTTCTTAAACTCAAACTGGACACACAAGTTAACCAACACTATTAAAAACATGCAGAAAAGAAGAAATGATACAGAATGAAATCTATTTTTTCAGTAAACCATAGATGTGAAACAGGAACGTTACAACTGGAAGCCGGTGGAGTGTTCAGGCCACCTGCTGGTTTTTGAACATCTTCTGCAGCAGCTGCTGAGCGGCGGCCCGCTGAGCCTCCTCCAGCATGACTCTGACATTGGGTCCGGGCAGCACCATGACCTTCCCCCTGAAGGCGCTGCTGATGCCTGGGATCAGAACCTTGTAGGTAAATTTGACGAAGCCATCTGCTCTGGCCAAACTGTAGTGTAGCTCATAGAATGGCTGGCCAAATCCGTTGGCCTCACAAACCTCACGGAGGAGCATCACTGGGGACGACGCACAGACCATGTGTCGCTGGGGGTGGTGCGAGGTCGGGAGGGGGTAACACACATGAGAGTGCAGGGGGGAGACTGGTTCCCCCACCGCCCTGCAGAATCCTGGAGAGACGGGCGGGGCTGAAGGGTGAGAGACAGCCTGGCTGCAGGGCACGAAGCATGGCTGCAGCAGAATCTTTGGGGCTGGAAGAGAACATGTCTGGCTGGAGCTCAGGTTCTCTCCTGGTTCCCACTTGATGGAAATCTCCAATGAAAATCGCTTCTTGAATTCTAGACACAGAGTAGACATGTTAATCTACAGATCTTCTCCGTCACACATAGAAAAACCACAAACAGCTCCTTCCAAAAGTATATATACAAACAATAAAACCACAACTTATTGTGTTTTATTGGGATTTTTATGACACAAAGGAAAATAAGACTGACATGGAAGGAAAATGATTCATTGTTTCAGGGGAGAACTGAAACAATGAATTAGCTAGAAAAGTCAAAAGTGATCTTGCAAAGTATTGACTCAAGTGGGACTGAATATTAGCCTTTTTGCACTATTTTGCTCAATTTCTCTCAGTGCTCTGTCTTGGATTTCTCCCATTGAGCTTGATTTCTCTGGTCGAATTTCATCCTGGCCAATCAGCAAACAGAAGGAGAAATTGTGAACGATGAGTTTAATTTTCTGCCCTGGTTTCAAATTGGGCTCCATCTGCAGTTTTAGCAAAGGCAGCTGATGAAGTGAAGGAAGCCATTCAGTTTGTGTTGGACATGCTTGCTATTAAATTTGGAACAAGAGGAATGTTTGAAACAATTTATTGCTGGCAAAGATGATACTTCTCTCTTCACAGTGAGGGATTGTTGTTTACATCACATCCTTTCCTGTGCTGTATGCAGAAAGTTTACAGCACCTCACATGACCAAACATTAGTGATTGGGTAAAATCAGACAATCGTTTAAACTTCAGCAGAAGCCACACATCTAGGATGTGATGGTTTCTCAAAAGCTGAGGGTTCAGACTGTATGAAGCCTAGTCAGAACCAGGGTCTGGTTTTTACTGGGGTGCATGAATAGAAATGGACAAAAAACTTTTCAGATTTACATTTGTCAAAACTTATTTTTCAACCTTTTGCACGTTTAGCAGCAAGTACGTGGTGTTGATGGACAGCACCCAGTCCCTCCTCCTGGCTCAGATTGGTTGCTATCACTGCATTTCTTCAGACAAGAATAATAGCTCAGGGAGAAGATCAGATTTTTCATCTTATCACAAATAGCCAGGATGTGCAGACAGTTTTAACAAGTTCTTTATAAAAGTTGTACCCTGGAGCTTTAATAAATATCTGATCCATCTGAAACAAACTTAAACAAATCAAATACAGTTGTAGCAAAACACAAATAATAACTGAATATGTTGGAAGTGGTATGGATTTCTGTAGAATGACAAAATGTGTTAAATCATTAAGAGACCAAAAGTTGGACTGGACTCTAGATTACCTGCCACTAGATCCTTCTTGGCCATCGACGCGGTGTGGTGGGAGGAGAAGGCAATGATAGCAGAGACCCCGTCTATGCCGGGACCGGTCTTCAGAGAAACCCTCTCCACCCCCTCCACCAGCCGCCGCAGCACCTTGAAAACACACACACACACACTTATCAGTCCCACCTACCTTCCAGAAAACCTTGTATATTGGTACATAATCTGAATAAATTCATTTCTGATCAGTGCATTCTTGTTCTTTAGTTTTAATAAGTTGTGTAGTAAATTCAACATGTCACTCCCAACAGGCTGACCGACCGGACCTGCTTCAGGTCTTCTTGTTTAGTGGCAGCCGGCAGATTTCCAATACAGAGGTGTCTCTTCTCCGTGCTGCGGCGGACACACAGGTAGCACTTGGGCTCCAGCATGTAGCCGTTCAGCTTGAGGACGGCCTCGGTGGCAAGGGCTGGTGTGCCGTATTTAGCATAGGCAAAGCCCCGGTTCTGGCCACTAAAGTTCATCATGAGACGGAACTCCCAGAGAGGACCCACAGAGCTGAACAAGGGGATGAGCAGGTCCTCGTAGGCGTCCCGAGGGATGTGGCTGATGAAGACCTCACAGTATTCGCCTGGGATTGGACCGTCCCACCCTAAACCAAGAAGACAAGGCTTTGAGGCTCAGTGGCAGATGCACTGCCACCCGGAAAAATATAAAGATTAGAAACATTTAGCTACATTCCAGGGGGAAGTGCACACACAGAAAGAAACAGCTAAAGTTGTGTTAACGGGATGAGGTTATATTCAGCTTGTGATCCCAGTTCAACAACTGGGGCTACGTTCACACACCAGGCAAATGCAACGCATATCAGACTTTTTTACGGGAGAATAAACAGACCAATTTTGATCTTTTGATCCCCCCAAAAATTCAATTTGTGTCAGCTCAATGACTGAAAAACTTTAAAATCCATCCAGAGCATTGTTATCTCTATAGACGAGCGCTGACGTCTGCCTTGTTCTCCCACACAATCAGTCTTTGGGCTCGCAAACCGCTCAGATCAAAATCTGATTGCAGTTGTGCTTAATTAGTCACAATCACGCAAAAATAAAATGAATAAAAAGTTATTTTTGTAGAAAATTTTAATTTTAATTGAGCATCAAGACCTGCTGTGTGATTTTCCATACATGCATGTGAAGCCGATCATATCTACTGTTCCCTCTGGGACTAAAAAAGTATATTTATTTATTCAAGGGTTGAACAGTCAGCCACTGTCTCGTTTTCCTCCAATCTTAGAGGTTTGACTGACTGACCCGTCCATAAGGTCACGTCTGCTGATTGCAGTTAAAAGTCTGTGCTGTTACCAACTCAGAAAATTCCTATTTGTAGAAACATTTTAGACAAAATGTTTGCACGCCAAACAGTTCTCTGTGACAATATAGATTCCTGGTGACATTATAGTAGCAATATATTGTGCAGCACCTCTTCTGGGGTATCCAGCTCTATTTACCTCTCTAGAGGCTAAATGAATAGCAGTCAGAGACACATAGTGTGGTTGTTCTGTGTTTTCTGCAGGTTATTCTGCTACTCTTTATATGAATTCTGTGAGGTCACCACAACACAGCAGACAATCACCACCAATCATAGGAACTATCTACAACATCACAAGTTCTCAGCACAAGATCTTTTTAAAATTTTCATTGTAAAACATTTATCAGTATTTGTGATGTTTACTGCCAAACAAAATATATGTTCTTTTGCTGCTGAGTTATTGTACTAAATACATCACCTTTGCCTCCCCAATGGAAAAAAAATTAATAGATAATCCTATTATCTCCTACATTACTCATGTTTATGTGTTAGACATGGTAAAATTATATTGAATACCACAGTGTTATGCTATTTGCACAATATAAAACAATATATAACATGGTCTAATTAGTTCAATATAAAAACAAAAACAATTATTTATCCTGATATTAAATTATACCCATAAAATATGTAAATCCATATATATATATATATATATATATATATATATATATATATATATATATATATATATATATATATATATATATATACCACAACTATAAAATATAGACTGACCAAATATAGTATTTCTAAATCTGCTAAATCTAAAATGAAACCAAATTTTATCAATGCAGAATATCAGACCTTCTTATTCTTTCATACAGCAACAAGTATAGTAAGATGACATTATGTTTATACAGCATTATAACTGCATATACTTCCAGACAGACAAATTTATCTTCCTTGTGGGCAGATGAAAAGTACATGTCTTTGTGCAGAAGCAGCAGAGGGACAGTTAAGTACAGTTAAGACTGTTCTCCACAGCCAGATCAACTCTGGCCAGTCAGGTCCATTCATTTCATCAAGATGACCCTCCATAACCATTGAGCAATAAACAAAAATAATTTATTGAGGAACAGAAAATGAAAATAACGAGAAAAGCCGGCTTTAACATTCTATAAGTCTGACCATGCATGAGGCCCACATCGCTCTGCTACAGTGTTAGACCACAGCAGCTGAAGGAGAATGAGAAAAATGTCAACATCTTGGAAACAAAGGTAAAACCTTGGCAGGCCTGAACACTGGAACGGACCCTCAGCAGTGTGAAAAAAGCTTTCACTTTGTCGCACCTAAATGTTTGAGATAGTCAAGATAAAGCTTTAAAACTGGAGTAAATATAAGTAGGTTTAAAAAGAGGATGTCTGTCATAAAGGACAAAACAATCAAAGCCAACCTGTGAATAGTGAGCTCCCTCTCACAACCCAAACCGAGGCCTGATTACTACCTCATTAGCAGATGTAATTATTTAAATAAGCCTCTGTGAGGATCACAAAAAGCAACATCTGAAAAAAATAAATCAAAAACAGAAGAACAAAGTCACTGACACCAGACTGGAAAGGGCTATGAAGGCTTTTTTTTTTTTTTTTTAATTTCCAACATGTTTATATTACAAACTCAATACACAAGACCACACAGAGCATAAAACAACAAGACACTAAATAAAAAAGTTCCTTCCCACATAAATCCATCCAACTGCTCAATCAAGAATCCTATGATCCAAGTTCAGCCCTGAACCCTTCAATAGTTTCCTCCATTTTAGCAGAAACATGTTAGTCGTTTCATCAGCTAATGTCTTAGTTTTATTCAAACAAAGACATTCAGTATTTCAGCTTCCTGTGGAGAAAGACTCATGTCTGACCCGCTCCATCAAAATAGCTTTCCTTTCCACCATTAGATATGTTTGAATAACTTCTTTCTGCTGTATCAGTCAGGAAAATGTCCAGTATGTGTTTACTGTAATGATGTTAACACTTTCTGCCCTCCAGAAAACCTGAATGATGCAACATTCCCTCAGAAAACAGAGCCAGCAGAGGTCAGTAAACCAAAATGGCTCCAAGAGCACATCAATGTTTCAACCTGGAGGTCACAAAAACAACATCTAATACTCTGCAGGCCTCACTTTCCTCAGGCAAGGTCAGAGTTCATGACTTAACAATGAGAAAAAGAGACTGGTCAAAACCACAGCTGACCAAAACACATCACAGACATTTCACCAAAAACATCTTGATGATTCCAAAGACCTCTGGGAAATAATCAGAGGAGTGAAAAGACAAAAGTGAATCTCATACTGAGAATCAAACACGGTGGTTACGCAGCAGGAGAATTGATCCAAAGTATAGCAGCAAGGTCAACTCTGAATGACTCAAAAAGGAAAAAAAAAACAAACAAAATTAAGCTTTGAAGGGGGTCTAGCGAAAGTCTGGACTTAAAATCCAATTCAGGTATTGTAGGTTGACCGAAAACACACTGTTAATACTTCCAAACCCTCCATTATAGCTGAATGTGAACATTTCTATAAAGGAGAGAGTCGACATTTCTCAGTGATGTTAAAGACTCATTATGATGTCAGCTGTTGGTGGCACAATTAGTTAGACGGTTTAGGTTGTTAGCTTCTTCACGTATGATCAGGTTGGCTTGCATAACTTTTTCCGAATAAAATAATATGAATAAAATTCTTATTTGAAAATTGATGTTTTGGTTCAATCACCCCATCTCCGATTCAAATTTGATTATGTAAATTTTTCAGAAGAGATAAAAACAGCAGAAGAGATCTGCAAAGGGGCAAATTGTTTTCTTTTTACAGCTGTCTGCCTAACGCGTTGATATGATGTGTCCCAGTGTGGCTGTGCGTCTCACCCTCAGGTGGTCCTCCGTACTTCCTCTGGCCGTTGACCTGGGTCAGCTTGGTGTTGGTCGTTTCCAGCCAGGCTTTCAGAGCCTGCTCTCGCTTAATGTTCTGCACCTGACAGTCAAAACACAGCAGGACCGCGTTGTTCACAACACCTCACCAACCAACAGGAAACAGTAACCACTCTGAGTAAATGAGACACGTCTGCGACAAGCCGTCTAAAACTAGAGACATCCAGTCACATGCATTCGGACTGCTGCTCATCTCTACACTTGATGTATATTTTTAGAGGTTGAGACGACAAAACTCAGAGTGGTGAGGAAATTGTGTTACAATAAAGAAAGAAGTTATCAAAGAACCATTCAATTATGATCAATATTTTCAACAATATCGCAATTAGATCATTCCAGATATCATGCAGCCCTAATGTTACTGGAAAATTCCCCTTCAGTGGAAGGAAAAAAGATGGAATACAAATGTGCAAATGAAACATTAATAACAGCAGTCTAGAGAGGATTGTGGAGTAAACCCTGACCAAGAGTTTACAGCTTGCAGAGTACAGACTGGAGTCAGGACTTCAGGATCCGCCTCACACACGGCATGTTCTACTGCTGTCACATTCCTTTCGATTGGCCATTCCTGGACCAGACGCGACATCAGAAACATCAGACATGGGATGTTATTTAATAGTCTGAACTCCTGTTTTCAGATGAAAGTAAAGTTTGCTGGCTGGGAGAAGAAGAGAATTCATGTTTCCAGTCAGTGGAGAACCATGTCAACCGGCTGGTTCTAGTCCAGTGGGTTTTCTCAGGTCCACAGCCACTCAGTCTGACATTAAACCCACGGAGAACTTGTGGGCTGAAGGTCGATTACATAACCAGGGTCTTCACTGCTCCTCAGAGGAACCACATACGAACTCCTTCATGTCATGGCACACTGATGGAGGAAGTCATGCAAAGTGAGCCCTGAACCAGTATTTAGTTTATGTCTTGCACAGAACCTGGACATGCTTTCAGCATGCATACCGATCAATATTAAAAATGACTCCAATTTAATATTCTGAATTGGATTCTTTTGTTTGTTTTCATTAGCTAAGCAGCTGCTCAAAAACATAGCTGTCAACACTATCAACCAGCAGCAAGAAGGGTTTGAATCTCAGCCTGAAGTCTCTTGTTCTCCCATATAAGCACAGGTTCTCCCTGGGTTCTGCAGCTTCATCCAACAGACCCAAAACATGTCGGTGGTCTAACTGGGCTGAGGTTAACATTTCATATCATCATCATCATCATCATCATCATCATCATCATCAACATCAACATGGACAGAAACACGTCGCACTGAGTGGAATAAATCTATATTAAACAGTTTCCTGTTTAGATTTGAGCTACTGAACTAAATCCATTTATTTTATCCGATAAATCTGCACACAACACCGTAAACATCTGGCAGTACTGAAAATGATCATGAGGTGGCGCCACAGAGCAGCAGCTGGTAGTAATTAAAATCAGGTTTATTTAATCAAACATCCTATGGAAATTATTTTTATTTTATATGGATAGAAATTATCTACAGTTTCATCAATTTAAAAGACACAGATGATACATTTTACTGCGCTAGAAACAACTTGATAGGCTGAAAATACAGAACCTTCTGAAGAAGATCATGGCTGGTTCTGGCGTAATAAAAGTTCTGTAAAGATCTGCTGCAATCAGCAGCAGATCTATATATTTAATAAATCATCAGACATGTTGTCAGTGAGCGGCACGGGGCCCAGAGTCCCTGAGGGCCTGAGGGCCCCAGAGGCCCGCGGCGTGTTTAGATTAGAGGAGCAGCAAAACAAGCAAACATTTTAACAACGTGACAGACATGTCCGCTGCATCAGCGCGAGTGAACAAAGTGAACTGGGAATGTCCCAGCTCTAAACAATGTAACAACCCTGACAGGCCGAACCTTTAAAGTTCCCAGTTACATTCTTGCGGACATTCCCAGGAGCCGCAGACTTGCGGCCTGCAGAGCGCAAAACTCACCGGGCTGCATTTGTTTTCCATCTTTCGCACCGTGTTTGTGTTGCTCCTCCAGTGGAGAACCACACCACGTGTCTTCCCGTTGCTCACCTGCAGACCCTCTGCTGATTGGCGGGGCCTTCACTGCCAACACGGCGCTCGGGCTCCGTGGCAGCTTCCAGTAAACCCAGTAAACATATAGAGTTAATGTATACATTATACATGCACCAAGCAGGGCCCACTATCTGTTTGAATGTTATATTTTCTACAATTAATGTATTTGCACTGAGGGCCATGAACTATTATCATTGAAAAGAACCGAATCTTTAGGGTCCGTTCAATTTGAAGAGCCAATAAAATGATCGAGTTTTGAAAATTGACATTTTTCTACAAACAGTCATTTTACAGCTTCGCATTAATTTAGAGGAACCTGTTTTTGAGTGATATTCACAAAAAAGAATAATCTGTATTAAGTAAACCTAATATTTATTCAAAATAAACAAAATAGAACACAGTATGTTTCTGCTCAGTGAGTGAAGCTATAACAGTCTGTGGAAAAGCAGAGTACAGGAACTGCTGTCTTCAGATCCACAACTCCAGGGCCGCTGCTGCACAACGTCTCATGTCCCTTGTTCAACATGCCTGAATCACGTCTGAATCAGCTCGTCTTGTGTTGGTGGACATAGCAAACAACGGGACAGTAGTGAAGGAGGCTGACCCAGAACAGTGAACAGAACCTTGTAACTCCCATAATAATAATAATAATAATAATAATAATAATAATAATAATAATAATAATAATAATAATAATAATAATAATAATAATAATAATAATAATAATAATAATAATAATAATAATAATAATAATAATAAAATGTAGTACACTAGATCTTTCTATGCGTTAAAGGCTTTAGAATGGACAGGAAAACATTTCCATGTTCATTCAGGTGCTGCTGCAAGCAAACAATCACAGACAAACAGATTTGGATGTTTCTCCTTGAAGTCTCTCAGTCTGATAGTTTGTGGTAATCTGACAGATTATCACAGATTGACTGCTCCTCCGAACAATTCATGGTGCATTTCAATCAGGAGTCAAGACTTTTAATTGCTGTTCTTCTCATGCTGAAAAGAGAAAAGATTTTCATCAGGAGTTCAACTGTTCATACTGGATGGGGGTTGAGTTTACATGTGCAGGCAGCAAATACAGATTACATCAAATTATATGAATGTGGGATTGAACCATACCTGAAGCAGTGAGGTTCTGATTCTGTCATGATGAGTTTATGGTGAAACTCCTGTTCACAGTTTGCACCACAAACTCACCTCCAGAAGTCGTTTGCTGACGTCACGCATGTATCCAGTGGACTTCTTAAAACTAAATTTGACGTCCTCGTGTAATGGCTAACCAAGACCACAAGATGTCGGTGTTGAGCCATATAAGAAAAACGTCTAATTTTCCAAATTAAAACCTGACGCACAATTTGCTCTTTGTCATCCAGGAATTTCTCACACTGTCATTGCTGCAGAGAATGGTGGTTAAATAATAAATCTCTCTTCTCTGCTGAATTTGAAAAATTCTGACACAGATACATCAAATGCAACAGACTTGGTATTAAAAAGTTACCTGATGACATGAAGCATAATGGTATAAAAAATAAGTAGAATCAATGTTCTTGGAAGATGTTCAGTCAACAAATCATTTTTAACATTTGCTGCTTTTGTTTGTAAAAAAAAAAATCTAGTGACATTATGATTTGTCATCTTTTCAGGTCAAATACAGGAAACATTTATACACAGTGTTTATTTAGTTTCTTGGAAAAAACAAAGTCCTTTGTCGTGTTTGTGCTGCCAGCTTCCCGTCACTCAGTCGGGTAACAGCTCATTACTGAACATTCATTTGCATAAATGTGCAGATCTTTGTTTTAGATTCCAGGCTCATTCCAGATTTTGTCCTCTATTTGCTCTGATAAAACATGAGCCATAAATTACAGCAATGTTTAAGGCATATTTGACAAAGACAGATGTTTGTATCATATGTGTAAATTGTTTATTTATTCTTTTGCTATGAAGAACAACAGCTGACTCAGTGTCCTCTCTGACTAATGATCTGATGTTTTTTACCACAACAATTCCACAAATAACATAATGTGGATTAAAGTAGCTGTTTCCTCTTTACCCTGCGGAATGTGATGGAGTCACAATCCAAGGTCCAGTGTCTGACCTTATATTTCTGCTGCAGCAGTTTGCAGTTTTCTAAATCTCTCACGTCTCTCAAACATAAAAGCAACAAAACAGGGTAAGGTGTGACGGTTAGTGATTTTTTTTCTCTTTGGTGAGTCATGTGATCAACGTTCTTTCGCTGGGTAAGAGGCAGACCTGGAGTCCTTCAGTTACATGGTGAAGCCTCAGTACTGACAGTAACATGATGGCCTCTGGGTCAGAGAAACTCAGGGTCACTCTGATGATTCTGCTGCAACTATTTACTGTACTGGGTGCTTTCACTTGAGAACTTTACAGCATTTATTATGTTTACAAGTATAAGCAATAAACGTTCAATTGTATCCAAGACCCACATTTATAAAATAATAGTAAGAATTGAAACGAGTCTTGTGGTTTTGAAACGGGTCTTTGTTCTCCTTGTCTTAGTTCTCTGTGGGTTCTCCTGTTTCCTCCTGTGATGGACCAACGACCTGTCTGACCTCTGACCTTGCGTTAACTGATACACAGTCATATTCAATAAATTAGAGTCCATGTGCCAAAGAGCCTCCACTGTCAGATTAAAGGCAGGCTTTGAAAATAACATTTAAGCAAGTATTAAACATACTTTTTATTCAGCTCATATTTCTGTTTTTTATGTTTTCATTAATTGTAAGCATAAAATCATAGTTAAACAGAAAAAAAACACTTTCAAACATCAGTCTGTGTGACACGAATCTTACTGAAAAGTTCTGTTGGTGCTGTGATCCTGACAAGTCTACAAGGAAGAAGCAAGTAGAGGAAAAAGAAGGAGACATGTTTGTTAGACATACAGAAGAACAAACACAATTATTTAATAAGTTCCAAAGGCTTTTATGGGCAAATACACCACAATCTTGTGAAAAGTAAATATTTACAGAGTTAAGTCATGCTCAGGTTTTCAGTGGGATCGGGAAGTAACTTTGCTTTAGCCATCCACTGCCTGCTCCTACGTCCAGCAGAAACTCCGTCTGTGTCCATCATGTTTTCACTGGGCAAAAGTAACTTCAATGCTCCTTACTTTGTCAAAAACAGTTTTTCCCAGTGTGTGTAGATGCAGTTACACCTTCCAGCTGCCAGGCTGAGCTTTGGTGCAAAAACAACAGCATAACAAACTCCACAGAAAGAGATGGTCCTGTTTGATAGGAAAACTGTTCAGCAGCAGGTTCCTCACAAGTGAGGCCATTTTGATGCAAACTGATGATGGCTGTGTGCTTTTCTGACAACACAACAAGCCAAGAAATTAATGCATGTCTGTCCCTCATTTGGAGAAATCAGTCTGTTGATTAGACTGACAGTCATTTCAGACTGACTCTTTCACAGCTTCACTGGTTCTGATGATGCAACTGGACTGTAATAAAGTTAGCTGATTGTTTTGTGGCAGGAAAAAATAAGAGTAGGAATGTGGTTTGATATGAAAATACTTCTTTAGGTGAGACAGTTTTTATTATTATGAATAAATCTGCATCCAATCACTGCACAAAAACTACATGTCTGCACAGAAACTGCAAACTCTGTGGAACATAAGTTTTGTGTCACTACCCAAACATTATATAAAATAATTAAATTAAATAATTAAATTAAATTAAATTAAATTAAGCTAAATTAAATTAAATTAAATTAAATTTATATGGTTCATCTGTGAAATGAACTTCAGATTCAGGAAGAGCAATGTGGTTCTGGTTCTGGTTGTAGGAAAGTGGACCAGCTCTACACCTTCCCATAGGTGCTGGAGGGTCCTATGGGCTACTGAGTCCCTGTATGACCGGCACCACAACTCCGGGTTGTGACCTGAAGAACAAGATCATGGATACTAATGAGTTTCCTCTGCAGGGTGTCGGGTTCTTTCTTAGAGACAGGAGAAAAGCCCGGTCATCCAGGAGGGGCTCAGAGTACAGCTGCTGCTTCTCCATGTAAAGAGGAGCCAGCGGGGTGGCTCTGGCATCTAGTTAGGATGCCTGCTGGACACCTCCCTGGTGACATGTTCTGGACACGTCCTACTGGGAGAAGACCCAGAGGAAGACCCAGAGGAAGAAATTTGTCTCCTTTATTTGATTAAAATAAAAGAGACTAATGCAGTTTTTTAATGTTTACATCTCTAATTTTTAGTAGTGGGACTCAATTCAAATTAAAATGTTTAATTGAGTTAATTACAGGGCCTGGAATTAATTAATAGCAATTAAGTGTGTCTTAATCAAACTATACATCAATATAATAAAAGACATTTTCAATCCTAAAACTAGTTTTGCTGCTGTTAAACTGTGAAAAATTTTTGTAAAGTAGCAAAAACCTTTTGGAAAGACTGAGTTGGTATCATAATATTATTAATGGAGGCTGACATGGCTGCATATTAATGAGAGTCAAAGATCTGAAGACGTATTACACCGCTAAGCAGTGATAAACAAGGAAACAAATAAAAACTAATCAGTGGCACATGAAAAAGTTTGGCAGCTCTATAAATGTACTTTCAGCTCATCATCATCTCGAGAGCAGGTTGAGAATATTCATTAGGAAACGGGAGCTCATGATTATTCCAGACTCCGAGAGTTCGTCAGCATTTGATAAGACTTGAAAACACAAACTCCTTTAAGCAACTGTCTGCGGATCTGAACTAAAGCTAACTGAAGTCTACAAAGCAGCGGCAACTATAAAAAGATTTCAAAGAGCTCCCAGCTTGCTGTTTCCTCTCTTTCAGATTTCATTAGGAGCTGCATCTCTGCTGAATGGACGCAGGAGGAGCTGCAGGAATACACAGCTGACACGGCAGCAGTGATGGCCGAACACATGGGCAGACAAACATCACCTGCCGCCTCCTCAGAGCAGTTAACATGGGAAGTTCAGGGAAATTCCAGGGTTTTACAA